ACTCTATAAGAAGCAAATGAATTTCACAAAATTCTTCAAACAAAAGATTGCAAGTAGGATAAATAGTGCGGAGAGGAGATTTGTTGCATCATAAAAATGTTTTTAACATTTACTCAATGTTTCAACATGATTCCATTCTTCCTCCGATGGACAATGAAGATATTTATCATCTCTAAGCTCAAATCTATTAAAAGCCACTTTATACTTTAAAGCAATCATCAACATTAGATAAGTAAAATTCCATCAAGTACAACAATCTAGAACAAGACATTTTTCCTTTTCCATATTAGCTTGTTTAGCAACATGATAAAAATTCTCCTCCATTTTTGGTGAACATGTAACATACTTAACACTAGCTTGTTTAGCAACATGATAAAAATTCTCCTCCATTTTTGGTGAACATGTAACATACTTAACACTAAGCCTTACTTTTTCAATAGCTTTAGTGATAACTTTTAAACCCTCCTGAATAATAAGATTAAATATATGTGTTCTACATCTTACATGAAAAAAGACTCCGCCACAAGGTAGCCACTTTTTAAGACGTTCTTTTCCCAATTTCACTGCAACATCATTAGCTTTATCATTATCCACTGTAATCGACAATATCTTATTATCAATTTTCCACTCAAGCAAACACGAAATTAATACATTGCAAATGTCTTTCCCCATAGAACTATGAACTTTGATAAATCCGATGATCCATTTTTGTAGTTTCCATGATTCATCAACAAAGTGAGCGGTGATGTACAAATAAGACAAATTTTGTGATAATGATGTCCATTTATACATTGTTAAACTTATTCTTATATAAGATTTCGCAAACAAGTCCAATAGAGATTTTTTATAATCTTCATAAATCTTTATACACAACTTTGTGATATGTGTACGTTTTGGAACCTTGTGATTTGGACGGAGAGAATGAACATACTTGAGGAAAAACTCATGTGTTACAATGTTAAATGGATATTCGTGCACGATTATTGCCTTTGCAAGCAAATTTTGACTCTCCTCATTATCAAATTGATAATTACTAAGTGAACAAGTCCCATCTTCATTTTTCATAGTAGCTTGAACCAATTGTTGATGAATATCAGGTCTTTTCTTTTTAGAACATCTCACAATGTGATTTTTAAGATGGGAAATACCCCTGATACTACGTCCATCAGCTTCAAATGAGCAATGTTTGCATTTGGCTCTAATGATTTTTGTGACAACCTCTTTCCCATCAACTATTTTCTTTTCTATTTTATCTATTTTATCAAAATCTTTCCACACTTCAGAATAACATCTTCTTTTCTTTTCAGGTTTTTCATCAATTTTACTTGAAGATTCCTCAACCACGGGTTCAACAGTAGGTTCAATATTAGGCTCAACAGTTTGTTCTTCGTTAGACGCTTGAATCGAAGGATTAGACATGATTTCTATTCAATTAAATTAAAAAAACTTAATCAAAAATCTTATACACATATGAAAGAAGATATTGTCAATGAATTTAAAGCAGAGTTTCAATTCGACCTTATGAAGAAGATGGCGGATCCGACAAAGATGAAGCGGGCGAGATCCGACGGCCTGAGGGTGAGGGCGACAGCCTGAGGGTATAAGATCCGATGGCCTAAGGGTGAGGGCGACGGCCTGAGGGCAAGATTCGACGGATCAAAAGAATTAATAGATTATTAAAATATGTATAAATTGGTGTAAGTTAACTAACTTCATTTAGTAACAGTCTAACAGATCAAAAGAATCAGCAACAACAAAATCCAATTTTTACGGTTTAAAAGAGATTGGTTAAGAAAATTATTGAGTGGGTATTAACTAAAACAAAAAAATCCACTAGAAATTTGCAGGAAAAGTGCATAAAAATGGCAAATAAGAGCAGAAAGAAACGATCTTTGACCAACCTTGAGAGTGGAATATTCTGGCTGTGAGATCGCCGAAAATATCCTGTCACCGTCGCTGGCGAGAAGGTAGAGGAGAAGTGGAGGAGACGAGGAGTTTGAGCACGACTTGTAGCAATTTGAGGGAGGCGGCCTGAGGAGTTTGAGGGCCGGAGTGGACTGGAAAGTGGAGAGTGGAGAGTGGAGATTGGAGAATCGTAGAGGTTGATGGAGTGGAGCACTGGAGAGTTGAGGCGGCCTGAGGGCTGAGGGTAAGGACCTAGGGTTTTTTCCTTTTTATTTTTGGTTTTGGGTTAGCCGGTTTGTAACTATAAATTTGGGACCTAATTACGTGAATCACTATTACATTACGGATATCCGTATCAGCAACCCTCATATCCGTTACTGAATCCGTATCCGGAAAAAAAAATCCAAAACTAGATCCGTATTCGTTACCATATCCGTCCGGTTTCAAAATTAGCCTACCATATCCACATCCGTTCGGATACGAATGCGGATCGGTTCAGATCTATCCGAACCGTTTGGCACCCCTAAGTGAGAGACTCCACTAATTGTACTTTACACATTTACGTCCTTACAAGTTTCGAATATTATTACATTTCTTTCTCCTAAAAATTTAGAATTTATACGTAAAGCAGATGACAATAAGAACAAAATCATTATGTAAGTTTTCACAAGCCACTACTATCTCTTCTTCTTTGAGAAACTAAATAACATGTCTCTCACAATAATTTTGGTCATGAGATGAACAGTTGTTCTGGTTGATATACAATGACATTGTAAATCACAAAATAAAATAAAATAAAATAATGATTCAATAAATAAATTAAATAACATTGAGAATGGAAGAGAAACAAGAAGGAGAGAGAGAAGACACTTGAAATTATGTGGCAAATTAATATAAGTTTACGCTTTTGTTTCTCAATCTTTTTACGAATGTCAATAAAGTATTGTCTCTCAATATAGTTACAAATGATGAAAGAAGATGTAGGTGCGAAAGCTAAAATAGACTTAAAAAGAAAATAACTTGTAAATCATATATAATATTTTTGTATTGCTTTCGATTTTTTTTTCAATCGAAAATATTGCTGTAAATAATTAATATTACACTAAGTGTTTGCACCAATATTTGAAAAAAATGCACATACTAAAAATTGAACTTTTGTTTACTAAACTAAAAAAATATGAGATAATAGAAAATTTTATCCAATGAGGAAGAAAACATCTTTAAATCCATAATAGACTTGGTGATACATCAAGCTTCGTTTAAATCTAGCATGATAAATTTTAAATAGCTAAAATATTACTTTAACCTATAAAGTGACACCTCTAACCAATAAGGCCTAAAAAATAACGCCAACGATAATAACACCTATGGATTGACATACTTAATCATTTACACTTACTCTGATCACTGATGCTTTAATTTGAGTTGAAAAATTATGATTTTTTGCATGTATAGTCCTCATATCTGTCATACTTACCATTAAGCCATGAATTAAAAAATCTGTATAAAAACCCAACTCTTTATTTCTTCTCAACCTCTCTCTCCTCACTCCCCTTACTTTCCTCCTCCTCTTCTCTCCTCCATTCTGTCCTTCCCTTCCATTGCAATGAGAGAATAAAGTGAGATTGAGCGAAGGAACAGGGGAGGGGGGAGCAAGAGAAGATTGCAATGAGAGAATAAAGTGAGATTGAGCGGAGGAACATGGATGGAGAAGGAGGTGAGCATGAGGATTTTGGAAAGGAGGAAAGGGAAAAGAGAGTAAGAGAGCGAGAAGAGGTGGGCAAAGTAGATGATTTTGGGAAGGAGGAAATGAGAGAGTGAGTAATTTTGAGAAAGAGAAAAGTAGAGAGGGTGTAATTTTGGCAAGTGTGAGAATTTTGGGAAAGAGGAAAGGGGAGAGGGAGTAATTTTGAGAAAGAAGAAAGTAGAGAGGGTGTGAGAAGGGAGAAAAGGAGGCTGAAGGAGATGATGGAGAGGGAGGGTGGTGGGGGGATGGGAGCAGGGGGTTGGAGAGAGGGAGAGAAATAATTTTTTTTGTAAATATTTTGAATTTTAGAAGGCAAATTTGTAAGTGTTACATATATGAGGGGTATATGTGCAAAAATTCCTCTCAAATAAAAGTTCTAGCGATTAGAGTTGGTGCAAATAGTTTAGCGTGTCAATTTATATGTGTTATTATCACCGACGTCACTTTTTAAGTCATGATTAGTTGGTATCACTTTATAGGATAAAGTGGTATTTTAGCTAATTTTAAACTGAATTTATGTTAGATCTTTTCTTTGAGAATATAAGTCAATTTCTACAAATTATTTTCTAAGTTATTTTCTGAGACTTGAACATAAAAATAATATTCAATATCTATACAATCAAAAACATTTATTTGAGAAACCATTATATTTTCTTAATAGTTAAGTTATTACGTCAACAACTTTAAAAATTTATATCTTGATTTTTCTATAGCTACTTCTTGTTTACAAACTAATCTTTCACTAGTTTTTTTTGCTAAATATAAAAATGGGGAGATCTAACAAAAAAAATTCAATGCTTTGAGTGACTTCAAAATATTAAGATTTAAGGGACTAATATAAAAAAAAATCCAAGAAACTTTCTCCATGAAAAATGGCTAAATAATACTTAAAATACCTAATAGTTTTACTCACTTTGTACTCATATACATTCGCTAGTTTTTCACAACATCTATATACCCTAAATTCTTTACAAATAAAAAGTTAATACCCTCTATTATGTTAATGAGAAAATTTTCGCTCGAGTGTTCTGATATAATACTTAAAAATTAATTTATCATGTGAGTGTCATATATAAAATTTTAGATTTCTATAAAAAGATGATACTAATATGCAAATTTCAAGCAACTTTTAGGTTACATAAGTTCTGTAAAAAAAAAACAGGAGAGAGTATATTAGTTTAAAGTGAATGAAACAGGTTTTTAAGTGCTATTCAGACGTTTGCAAACTAACCTTTCTCAAGGGTGCATATGAAAATTTTCTACAAGTCCTTCGGAAGAAGGCAACCGGCTATTGCCGGTAAAAAGGAAGTGAAAGTTTCCGAAAAAAGGGGGTGTTGATATCATCAGCCTGAGGATTTGATCAAATCCAAATGGAACTTGACATCCGCAAAGACTCGACTCATCGCTCTCCATCTCTCATCAGAGAAGAAGAAAGGAAAAGAAACGAAGGGAAACTCCCATTTACGAAGAAGAAAGGAGGTGTATTTATAACTTATAAAAGATACAGAACCTTAACCCTAACCCTAACCCTAGAAAATTATATACAATCAAAAGTGACAAGAGCCTTAAAGAGGAGGAAGAAGAAGGAGAACAAGTCGAGAAGCTCTGTCTCTATTTCCCAGTAAGTGGTACTTCCTTTATACTTTGTTAAGGTTTGGAGAATTGGGTTCCTCAAAGAAAGGATTTTGACCCCAGTGAAGTGTCAAAGATTGGATTTTTAGCACCTTGTAGATACTACAAGATCTGATTTTGTTTTGCTCTGCACTCTCTGTTATTTGACGCCAACATAAATTTAGTATTGGATATAGGATTCCTTCTCCAGTTGCTTCTTTTTTTTTTCGGTGTTGTAGCCCGCCCTTTTGATACCCCATGGAATTGTTTAGGGATCTAGAGGATGTTAATAATGTTTGAGCTGAAGGGTTCATTTTGTTGCTTACATTAATCTAATTCCTTCACACTATAGCTTGAATATGATGCCCTCGGGGCCTCCGACTCCGGTCGGTGGCGGGGCCCAGCTCCCACTTCTCCGGTCGAGCTCCGGGTTATTGGGCGGTGGAGCCCAACCGAACCCGGTTAACTCTCAACAGCCCTTCTCCTCTTTTGTCTCCCCTCGAACCCAATTCAACGCCAGTAACAATAATAACAGCATGAGCATACTTGGAAACATCTCCAATGTTTCCTCCCTCATTAACCAGTCAATGTCAAATGGAGCGGGCCTTCAGCATTTGGGCTCCGGTGAGCCGGACCCGCTTTCTTTTGCATCGTCGGGTGTCCCTGGGGACCATTCGCAACCTCAGCAGCAGTTCTCAGTTCCTCAGCAGCAGCAACAGATTCGAGGGGGATTGTCCGCCGTCAAATTGGAGGCCCAAATGGGCTCTTTGGATCAAAATGGTCCAAATTCGCAGCAACTGCAGACTCTACGAAGCATTGGGGGAGTCAAAATGGAACCACAACAGTTGCAAACGATAAGAAGTTTGGGCACGGTTAAAATGGAACCACATAATGATTCTTCGATATTGTTACAACAGCAACAACAGCACTTACTGCAGATGTCAAGGCAGTCTCAGTTGAATCTCTTGCAGCAGCAGCGAGTTATGCAGCTTCAACAGCAGCAGCAGCTTCTTAGGGGGCTTCCACCTCGAGCCCAATTGCAACAGCAGCAACTTCAACAGAATCTTCCTTTGAGAGCTCAGTTGAAAACAAGCAACTATGAGCCTGGACTTTGTGCTCGGCGATTGACACAGTATATGTATCATCAGCAGCGTAGACCTGAAGTATGCTTTATTTGTTATCAGTGCTTCATATGTTCATATACTTTTGTTTCCGGCTTCTCCTTATGCGATTCACGGGGATGCAGGATAATAATATTGAATTTTGGAGAAAATTTGTGGGAGAGTTCTTTGCTCCTAATGCTAAGAAGAGGTGGTGTGTTTCACTTTATGGAAGCGGACGTCAAACTACTGGTGTCTTCCCTCAGGTATTTTGACCTCTTCTATGAGGTTTACAGGCAAATTTTGTCATATTGCTATAGGTACTGTATATAGATTTCGCTTTCCTTTTTAGTGTATACTATTTAGGTAGTTGTATATATTATCCTAGCATGGGAACATTGCATTATACAGTGAATATTATACTGGTTTTTCAGGATGTATGGCATTGTGAAATATGCAACCGCAAGCCTGGACGTGGTTTTGGTACGTGCATTTCTACTTCAATTTCTTTTTCCATTTTTTCTCACTATATATTCTTGTTTAATATTGGAATGTTGTCCTTCATCAATTGTTTAATGACCCTTTTACTGATGAATATCCTGTCTTGAGCCAGATCCTGCTTTGATTCATGTCTTGTTTTGTGAACATATCTTTTCAGAGACGACGGCTGAGGTTCTGCCAAGACTATGTCAAATTAAATATGCTAGTGGTACTTTAGAGGAACTACTTTATGTAGATATGCCTCGTGAATCTCACAACATAATGGGGCAAATTGTCTTGGATTATCCTAAAGCAATCCAAGAGAGTGTATTTGAGCAGCTCCGTGTGGTACGCGATGGCCATCTACGTATTGTTTTCAATCTTGATCTAAAGGTATAAATGTTGCTGTTTCAGCATATATGATATCTTATGGTTAATAAGTTTCATAACCATCTACATATTTATTTATTTTTTAACTTCTACATGATATAAACAGCCTAGTTCATGTTTTGATTTTTCTCCAGATTTCTTCGTGGGAGTTTTGTGCTAGAAAACATGAGGAGCTTATACCACGGAGGCTAATAATACCTCAGGTACCAACTTATTGTTTGTCATATTAATAATCATTTGAGTGAACTATTTTTTCTAACCATATCTACGGATTGTGATGTCTTATAATTTGATAGATAATTGATCAGATGATTGATGTTTCTTCTGTTCAGGTGAGCCAACTGGGGGCCGTGGTTCAAAAATATCAGAACGCAGTTCAAAATGCGTCTTCTGGTTTATCTACTCAGGATTTGCAAAACAGTTGTAATTCGTAAGTCTCTCAATGCCCAAATAGAATTTTAGTATGTTTTCTTTCCTCAGTTTTTGTAGTTTGAAAATTTTGATGCTTAAGATTGATACAATCATACTTCAATTATGCTGTATAATTGTACATATGTATAAACGTGCTTGTATGCATAGAGATGATCTAAAGTGAAGATGCTTCCTGTACATGATTGGGTTGAACAGACAGAAGGTTAAGTCCTGAAAGGAATGAAGATAATAGAAGAATGTCTCAGCCTTAAGGGAGGAGAGAAGGGAATATTTTATGTTGTACGAGTTTAATGATTGCAAATGCATCTTAACACTACGTGGGTTCACAAAAGGAAGAAGGAAAAGCTCCCAGATGAAGTTATGAAAATATACATTTGACTTGGATTCTAGAGTGTTTATAGTTGTTTGATTAGGTTATTTGAGCATTTGATCAATTATCGTAAAATTTTAAGTAAGTCTCTTATTGTCTATTGTTTGTCATTTGTAGCTTTATTGATAAAAACAATTCTTCTTAGACAATTCTTCTTTAACTCTACCTAGGATTTAAGGAAGTGCCTATTATTAATAAAGAACATACTCTTTCATGTAAGCAATTAGTGATTGATCATTGAAGAAAAATAAAGTTCCACTGATTGAGAATTGAGTGGTGTGAGGCCAACCATCTGGTACACAAAGGCACTTTCTGTAATTATAGTTCATCTTCCTTTATATTGCTCCGCCGTGAGTCATTTGGGTGGTTGCTCCTGTTGAGGATGAAATGAGAGCAAATAGTTTGAGATGATTTGGTCGTGTGCGACAAAGGCCATTAAATGCATCAGTTAGGAGTATTTGTAAAATTATAATTAAGGGTGCGAGATGTTAGCCTAAGAGAACTTGGTTGGAAGCAGTTAAGGACATGATAATGATTAATTTAGTAGAGGAGATGACCCTTAAGAGAATTGAATGGAAGAATAGGATTTGTGTAACCCTCAAGAGAATTGAATGGAAGAATAGGATTCATGTAGCCGATCCTAAAATTTTGTGATAAAAGCTTTGTTGTCTTATGTATTGGTTGGTGGTTAGTGAAGCTTTTTGAGATATAAAACTACTTTCTATCAATTAAGATATATTCTATCTAACTAAAAGCTACTTTTGCAAACAAATCCATCTAGAGCTTATATATGCTATTTCCTTGATTCTGATGACTATATAAATCTAAATATCATGAGATATACTATTTCAATATAGTATTCAGATTAGTCTTTGACTATGTGTGCTATGTCCGACATTTTCACCCACCTTTTTTTCAAAGTTTTGTACATACACTACCATGTGAAATCATTGTGTACTCTTTATCCTTTGCATTTTGTTTGCATGTAGTATTGCTGCTGTTATCATTCGCTTGCACCCAAGGATTTTATATAAACAGCTTCTTGTCTTAGTTTTACTCAAAAGCCTTTTATTTTTACATATGATGGAGAACTATTATGTGCACTATATTGTTTTATGGATAGGCAATAGTCTTAGGAATGATTATGGCTATGTTATTATTTATTCTTTGGTAATTCTTCACTTTCAGCATTCTCTTTTAGTCCACTGTTACTATACATCCAGTAGTAATATAAGCTTGCTCTTGGAAATGGATATGGCTGTATATTTGTTTATCATGCCTTACTTTTGAATGCCTTTTCAAGTTGTAATCTGTCTTTGTTAATTTAAGTACTTTTATGTTGTATAGGTAATTTCTTTTGAGTTAGCTTGGGATCTTAATAATACATTATGAGCTATCCATGTTCAATCAGTTTATGTATAATGTTTGGATTTGCCTCTCAGCTTCGTGGCTTCTACACGCCAATTAGCTAAAGCTTTGGAGGTGCCTCTGGTAAATGATCTAGGATACACGAAAAGATATGTTCGCTGCCTTCAGGTACACCCTTTCTGTTACTCTTGATGTGTTCCTTTCTATCTTTGTTTTTTGTTTGAGTCTTTTGACGGATGAATTGAATTTCTGTTTCATTATCTGGAACCTTTGTGTGGATTGTCTTCTTTTGTAGTGTAGCAAAACTTTGCTTTTTTCCTTATTTTAGGGTTTACTTACCACTACATTACAAATTCTAACTATGGTTAGTGAATCTTAAGTCAAATTAGATTAGTAAATGTTACTATGTTGTGAAATATTTGCTGAGGGAACATCACCCTCTTGTCATTGTGAGCCCTTGTCATTGTGAGCCCTTGCTTTAGTGCGCATGCGCATGCTCACACACATACGTATGGGTGCTGGCATTGTTTTAAATATCCCGACATGACTTGATATATCCGCCGATATATCCTTTTACAGGGCTTGCCGCAACCGATATGGTCTTTAAATATCCTTTACTGCTTTTTGGCTATTTTGAATGATAAATCTCCGATATGGCCGATATATTAGCCGATATGTGGACCAATATATCTTTTTATATAGCTTGTTGCAAAATAATATACCGTGTTTGGAATTTTTGGGCGAGATATCAAGATTTCCCCATTATATCAAATGACATTTTGTTTACCGCTTTTTGGCTATTTTGAGTGATAAATCTCCGATATGGCCGATATATTAGCCGATATGTGGACCAATATATCTTTTTATATAGCTTGTTGCAAAATAATATACCGTGTTTGGAATTTTTGGGCGAGATATCAAGATTTCTCCATTATATCAAATGGCATTTTTCCTTAAAAAGCAGATCGAATGTTGCAACGTTGCTTTGCACTTTTGTTTGTTTTAGAAGGTTGATTAGTGATCCTAAATATATATTATTCATATTTTGTATGCTTAAATTTTCATTACGTATGTTGAGATTATATTTTAATGCATTATACTATGTATGCAAACATTCATTATGGCATTCCGATATTTATCACATATCCCCGATATTTTCCCGATATCCGCAATCTGATATGAATTTTGGCCATCCGATATTTCCCCGATATCCGATATTTAAAACCTTGGGTGCTGGGACAGGCACAAATTTGTTGAGTAGCTTTGGTTAGTCTATAAGTTCTTCATAAATATAAATGCGAGAAAATAAATACAGATGAGAAACTTAAGATGACGTGAGAGTAGTTAAAATAATTGATTGGACATTCCAAGAGAAGTTATGCAGACTGTTACCTAGCTGATGTTTCTAAATCAATATTATCGCTTAATGAATTATGATCATGTATTTCATTGTTAACCTTAAATTGCATTTAAATCAATGATTCAGTTTTCCTTTGATCCATTGAGCTGTCAATAGTTGTTTTGTATTCGAAGGCTTGTAAGTTTAGATTATAGATCGAGTGTTTCTGAAGTTAGGGAGGCGCTACAGGCACATCCTCGGGCACACCTCCGGCCACATCCCTCCTCTATCTACAGTGCAGGGGGTCCCACATGATATTTTTTAAAAAATCTCAAGTGGGGCCCCCTGCGCTGTAGATAGAGGAGGGATGTGGCCGGAGGGTGTGTCCAAGGGTGTGCCTCTATCATTTCTCCTGAACTTAACCATACAGAACTGACAATATCATTGTAAAATAAACGAGGTCCATTTATGAGGGTGTTTTTTTGCCTTTTCTTTTATTTGTGTTAGGGGAGGGGGTTATATTTAGAACCTATTAAGTTATGTTAGCTTTTAAGATCTGATTAAGTTACATCAGCCTTTTGCTTCCATGATAAAAAAATTTATAAACTGTTTAGATAGAATAGTCATTTATTTGGTCAAACGCAGCTTAGGTGAGCCTGGAAACTGAGAAACACAGAGGTTACTATTTGATTAGCACAATCACCGCCATGTAATCTCAAATAACCTTTTTTACAGTCGATCAATATGATGTACTAATTAATCTTCCCCATGACTTACATATTAACAACATGTCCCCACTTACAAGAATAGGTTTTAGACCCAGCCCAAGTGTCAGTGAAATGCATTTTCAGTATTTTGATGCTAAGTGCTAATGTTTGTCTGTTATATTTTTTCCTCATTTCATATTGATCTTCTATATTATGCGAGATTAATCGAGAGGGAGTGATGTTGCTGTTTGATGTTTAATAAATGAAATGTACAGATATCCGAGGTGGTGAATAGCATGAAGGATCTGATTGATTACAGCAGAGAAACAGGGACTGGACCTATGGGTAAGATTTTTATATGCAAATTAAACAATCCGTCACTGGTCTTTTTGATTCTTTAATTTTTCTGGACGCTGGTGGGCAAGTTTTCAAATTTTCCTTTTTTCCATACAAAAATTAATATGGTTAATCACAGATATACTCACTCTTGGCCACTTGGCTTCGATCTCTTATTAATGATGTTAAGACTTTTGTTAGTGAGTCAGTACCTGGTTTCACATGTTAAGATATGCACAACCTGTACTCATTTAAAAGGAGAAAACAGTTAAGTCCTCTACCGCTTTACCGATCTTCCTTCATCTTATGTCGCATTTGTGATCTTCAAGATGAGATACAATGAGATTAAATCCAAGAAATTCATTTGCCATAATAACCAACTTAAAAGAAAACGAGAAGACCAGTTCATGTAAAATGGGTTACTTGACTGCCAAAAATGTCCCATCTTTTCCCAGAATGAACCAGCCCCACAACATTCAGAGAGGGAAATAGGTATGATTGGATTGCAGAGAGAAGTTGTTATCACTTTTCTCTTCTAGTAGTCGCAAATTAGACAATCCACGAAGAAAAAAAGGCCAATGGGATAAAAGCAGAAGACAAGCTTCGGTTTGTAGCTGATTCGAAATGAGAATACAATTTCCTGAGGGTTTATTGATAAGAAAGAGGAAGTACAGAAGGATAGCTAGGGGATTATATAACCTTAAATATCACAGGCTAATAACATTCTCATTCTCACCCACCAAAGTCTGAACATAGGTAGTTCACCAGAGTAGGATTGTTCATATCCAAGTTAAGAGGTAACAACATGCGTTCAGTCAATATTACAGGGGTCTATCTGCAACAAACCTTAATTACATGTTGGTTCACTAATTTCTATAATTTTAACAGTCTTGATAAGTGATTTTCCTATTCTATTACAGATAGCTTGATCAACTTCCCGCGAAGAAATTTCAGTTCAGGAATCAATCCCCAACAACAATCCCAACAGCCAGAGGCTCAACATCAAACAATTGCACAAAACAATCATAATAATAACCATAGCACTGCTAACGCAACAATCATGCATCCTTCCTCATGCATAAATGGTGCCCCAAGTGTAAATAACTCCGTCAGTGGTCCATCATCAACCACCATTTCTGGCCTCCTTCAACACCAGAACTCAATGAATTCAAGACAAGATAACCATTTGGGAACCGTCAGTCGCCCCTATGGTGGCAATAACTCATCGCAAATACCGTCAACAAGCTCAACAAGTTCACTTCCTGAGCCTCAACCTAATACCGCTTCCCCTTTCTCTCCACCTACACCATCTACCTCAAACAATAATACCACTCAAAATACTGCAAATATGTCCTCAATGCAGCAGCAGCAACAGCAAGCACAGACTAACGAGCCCGACCCATCTGACTCACAAAGTTCAGTACAGCATATCCTTCAAGAGATGATGATGTGTTCATCACCGATGAACGGTGCAACTACTTCAGGGAATGAGATGAAGGGTATGAACGGAATTTCCCCCATGAATAGTTTTGGCATGGGATATGGGAACATTGGTGGAGTGGGTCCATCAGCGACTGTGAGTGGGCTCAGAGCGGCGACGGTGAATAATGCAATGGGCATGAATGGTAGAGTTGGAATGAACCACACGACACATAATAATGTGTTGGGCATGAACCATCAACAGCAGAATATGGGAAACAGGCTAATCGGTGGGCTTGGATCAGTTAATAACTTCGATAATTTTCAATTCGATTGGAAATCTTCAGGGTGATCGGCTTTCTAGTATACTCTCTTTGTGACACAACAGACTGGCAAAATTCTGCTATCATACCGGAGAAACTCTGGGCTTGTGTTTTGTTGCTGAATGTTGGCTGCTATACTGTAACTAATGTTTTACACGGCGAAGTATTTCTTAAATGAAAATTCATTGAGGACAAGAAAATACAAGAAGTGGACACCTGCCAGCGGGTTGATGATTTCTCTTATACAACAAAATTCGAAAGGACGATGAAAGAGATACAGTTAAGTTGTGAAGGAACGCTTTCGGTACCGACATCGTGGGCTTGATGATGGTACTTACATCTTGGACTAGAGCATTTTTGTAGACCAGCCTCCCCGCTCCACCCCACCCATTCCCGCCTTAATGTTGAATTTCTCAGCCTATATAAGTGCTGTAAATGCCGATGTGGTGTTCTTTTAAACTATTTTTTCCCATGTTGTTTGTCCACCATGTTGCCTGTGTATTATTTTTTTCCCCCTTGGGGGCAAAGTTTCTAATTAAAAGTTCCAAGATTTTGATGGTAATTGAGGGGTCTACTTAGACAAATTTGTAATTTGGACTTAAGAGTTAAAACACAATTCACTCAATGGTCCTCCAGTTACAAGGGTTTTTGTGGTGTATATGCCTCGTAAGTCATAAATCATGTGTATTAGTGAAAATACTCTTGAAATCTTAGTATTTTTAAAACTACATCCCAAATTAACATTGGCAAAAAAAAGACGTTCAAATCAATAAATCATCAATTTTGTTTGTTGGATATGTTGAGTAAAAATGTGACTATTTGATTGATATTTTTATGTCGTGGTTATAGATTAGCATGTAAAAGTTAATGATTTGTTGTTTTGGGGGCTTTTCATTACGGTTGATGAATCATGATTGAACAATCAACATGTAACTTCTTTTAGGTTTGTGGCTCTGTTCCAAGTTTTGATCTCGGGGAGACGGAGCATCCTCTATTTGGATTACACAGGCATGTGAATGACAAATCCTGAAAATCTAGAAGCCAGGTACATCATAGTCTAAGGGTGTTCATCCGGGCCGGGCAAAACCGAAGCCCGTGCCCGGGGCTAAGCGGATCGGACACCGGCCCAGTCCGGTTTTAAAAAATTTTATTTTTTAATTTTTTTTGAAGTTTAAAAAAAAGGTAAAAATAGACACAATTTTGATTAAAAAATTATATTATTAATTATTTATAATTATATAATTTGCAAATATAAAAAAATATAAAAATTAAAATAATATAAAATAATTACAGAATTTATAGAAATAAATAAAATTAAAAATAATTGTAGATATCAAAGGGGCTATTGAATTTATAGAAATAAATAAAATTAAAAATAATTGTAGAATTCAAAGAGCCCTAAGACCCTATCGAAAACTTTTAAATATATATATTGTAGCTAGAATTTGAACCACTAACCTCCTCTCCAAACTCCTAAAGTTTACCACTAGACAAAATAGCCCAAAATGTTCATGTCATTCATATATTATACATAAACAAATTGTAAGTACTTATAGAAATTACATAAACAAGTTGTATTATACATAAACATATATATATATATATATATATATATATATATATATATACACACA